CTGTCTGTCTGTCTGTCCGTCTGTGTGGCTGCAGTGCTCAGCGACCTGCGGGGAAGGCGTCCAGCAGCGGCAGGTGGTGTGCAAGGGCAGCGACAGCGGTGCGCGCTGCGACGGTGACAAGCCAGAGGCCATCCAGGGCTGCCACGTGGCGCTGTGCCCAGGTGAGAGGAGCAGGAGGAGGAGGCACTGGGATGGAGCACATCCCAAGGGGGATCAACCCCATGAATGCCCCCAGCCCATTGTGGCTTCAGGGGGTGCCACCACACAAGGCTGGGTTGAATGTCCCTGATGCTGCTGTCAGTAATAACAGGTTCAAAGCCAGCCGAGATATTTCCCTTCTCTGCCCTGAGCCCTGGCACTGGGTGATTTTGGCTTTTCTGACAATTTGAAGACTCAGTGAGCTGATGGAGATAAGCACCCTTGAGTTCATCTTGAATGRGGTTTGAGCAGCTTGAGTGCTGGCCAGTGGGGTGCTCCCTAWGGGACTTAATTTGTAAGAAGATGCCTTAAAACAAAACAAAACAAAGCAAAGCAAAATAAAACAGAACAAAAAAAAATCAAAACAAACACCCTCCCGAGATGTTTTGAGTGCCCCCAGCCTGCCATGGCTGCCTGGCATCACGATGCTCTCTCCACAGGGAAGATCTCTGGCATCACCGCCAGCGCCGACGCCGGTGACCACGGCGTGACCAAAGGGCAGCGGGTGCCCCAGGATGGAGCCAAAAACCCCGTGAGCAAGATCTCCTCCAGTGAGTGCCCCTGGAAGGGTGGTGCTTCCCAGGATGACCCTCCCGAGGGAGCACACCCTGCAGTGCTCCTGGGCAGTTTGACCCTCTGCTCCCTTTGCTCCATTGCCATCTCGTGGTGTAKGAGGTCCTGCGGTTTCCCTGCTGCCTCCCGGGTTTTATGCCCTTTCCTTTTCACCKTGGGATTTTTCTAAGCAGGGAGGTGCCTTCTGGTTTTTTTCCTTGGAGTCCTTCCTTACTGGGGTGGGGTGCATCCTGACCTGATTTAAGGTGCTGGTTTGGAGCATCCMTTGCTGTCTGTTTTCAATCCGTGCACAGAATCCTTCAGCGCTTTGATTTCACTTTCCAAGTCCTCTTTGCCCTCTTCCTGTGTGGACAGGCAGCACCCACCACACCCCACCTCGTTCCTTTTGGGAATCCCATTGGAGAGGTRCAGGACAGGGAGCCTAATGCCACGTTTTTCTGTGCTGCTGTGTCCCCCTCCAGGAGAGCCATGCCTTGGGGACAAGTCCATCTTCTGCCAGATGGAGGTCCTGGCCCGCTACTGCTCCATCCCYGGCTACAACAAGCTCTGCTGCGAGTCCTGTGGCAAGAAATCCTCCTCCACCACCGGCTCCCCTGCTGCCACTGGCATTCCCCYGGGCACCACCGCTCCCAGCCCCGCTCCAGTGCTCTCCCCCTACCCCACAGCCCCGGGGGAACCTGGTGGGGACCCCACTGGGGCACCTGGGGTATCCAGCAGTGGTGCTTTTCCAGGGGAGCCAGGAAGGGGCCAGGGGGCCAGGTAACCTGCTCAGGACCACCTCACTGTGGGGCAGGGAAAGCCTTTCTCCCTCTTCCTTCCC